TTTTATCCTTCTGGGACTTCTATTACTCATACATTAGAGTTTTTCAATCTATATACTTGTCTATGTCACATTTTCTATCTCCTTTTCTATCTATGCAAACACTTGATTTTTAAAATTCTTCCTTCTGTATCAGTCCTCTTCAGCTTCGTTTAGTCTACTTTTTCGACTGAAATTTTCATTACTAAAATTTCCAATGTCTTTTTTTTTATATTGGTCTTATTTTTGTTTGTTTGTTTAAGATCTTCCTGTTCTTACTGTAAAGCAGAAAGTTTTCTCCTTTATCTTTTTGGTAATTCTAAATATATTCCTTTTAAATACATGTTAGATTTGCTACATTATTGCTCTTTCCTTGGGTGATTTTTTTCTTTTGCTATTTACTGACTGTTCTTTTATTTTTAAGTTTCTTTTTTTGCTTTGTAATGTTAGTTCTTTAGTTCATATTTTGTAGATGTTTTAAATTTATGCATGCTGTTTTCTGCAATGAAGTTTGGATGGCTTTTAGGCTGATCTACTCCCTACCCATTCTGACATCCAGTAGGGATGCCCTAGTGAAAAGGACAAGATAGTTATTACATTATTGAAATACTTCCTTATCAGTTGGCAAATAGCTGCTTTTCTGAACTCCCTGAAGAATGTCTCTCTCCCCTTGAACTCTGACAACTCTCTGAGAACCCCGGGACCTATCCACAATTCCGTTACTAAATGGTTAAGGACCAGCTAGCTTCTCTTACACTCTGTTCTACACAAGAGCAGAGTCCTTTCTGATTGGTGGGTGTATTTTTCTATCACCCCTGCTTCCACTCAAGTCTTAACATGGGGAGGCTGGCGGCTTTTCTCCCACGTGGGAAGTGCTATCCCTGGGTCCACACCACTGGTGGTAGAGGGCCACCCTCATCCCCATTCTTCCCTTTTGGTCAGCCGGATTCCTTATGGAATCACAGGAAAGTGACATGCCGCCTATTTCACCACTAATGATAGAGGGAGTTATTCCAGCCTTAGTTCAGAGCTAGGAGTTCATGAGTACTCCAGCTACTTGCTCATTCACGAAGACTGCTTCTGGTCTCCTGACATTTACAGGGTAAATTCAGCATTTTCCCCCCTCAAAATAGACTTATAGGCTTTTAAGCTTGCTCCATTCCAATTCCCAGTACCTACTTGTGGATTACACCATTCCAGTCCCCAATGCACCATACAGGTTCTTTCTGTAATTAGTCCATTGACTTTTTTTCCATTGAGATGTAATTGACATATAACTTTATATTAGTTTCAAGTGTACAGAATACTGATTTGATATTTGTATATATTGCAAAGGATCAACACAGTAAGGCTGTTTAACATCCGTCACCGTACAAAGTTGCACATTTTTTTGTGATAAGAATTTTTAAGATCTACTCTCTTAGCAACTTTTTTAGTGTATTATTAACTGTAGTCACTATGCTGTACATTACATCCTCATGACTTATTTCCTTTATAACTGGAAGCTTGTACGTTTTGATCATTTACACCCATTTTGCCCACCTCTTATTACCCCCTGCCTCTGGCAACCACTCACTCACATCTTTCAATCATAATCAGATCATATATATAAAATCATCTTAACATCTCTGTATCTGTTGCTTACTTGATATATCTGACTTGACCTTCTGTTATAAATTTGCTTCTTTTATGTTTCCTCTCTTTTCACCACGAGCACCTTTATATTTGATATTTCTACCCTAGAAATCAGCCTCTTGCCTGGCTTTCTGGAATTTTTTCTCCCGTTAAACACTGGGTTTCTTTGGGGTATCATTTAGCATTTAGAATATTCAAGTTTTATATTATAAACATTCCCTATTGACTTCTATCAAGTTTTTTAAAAAAATAATAAATTTCCATAAATATGTTTTGTTTACAGATTGCTAGCCTCTCCTAAAAAGATCAGTGACACTTCACTTATCTCAATAGCATATTTAGACTCACCATGTGGAAGGGAACATTTAGCCACATACTTAGAGAGTGTGTTTATCTTTGAAATCGTTTACACAACTTGTAATCGTAATGAATTGAATCATTTACCGGTGTTTGGGTATATATATTGCTATATGAATAGAGTAACTCTGTGTGTACCACTGATGTTTTCAGGGGCAGATTTGATTTCTTTGCATGTTTGAATTTTCCTAAAATTTATCAACATTTACTTCTCAGCATTACCAGTTCCTAAATCTTCAAAAGTCCTGGGTTACTTTTGTGTTTCAAGATTATCTTGTTCCCAGAATTGATGAAACCAGGAATAATGTGCTTTGAATATTTAAAGGATCCCAATTATGCTAGAAGAGCAGATACATTCTGGCAATGAAATTCAAAGGCATACTGTACTGAGAGTTGAAAGGCAACAATTGTGCACGATCGTTTGAAGTCTGCAGTGTATCTCACATTGGGCTGTGTTTGACCACTGCTTGTGTTGTGTGTGTATACAGTAGGTGAGCTACTGGACAGGACAAGATGCCTCTAATGAGATTCTTTTGAAGTGATCTTCAGTATAGATGGAAACAAATTTGACATGTTACAAGGAAAGTAGGCCAATTAGAGATAAACTTAACAGCTTAAGGGAGAGAGCCAGAATATATTTACTTACACTTGACAGAATGAGAAGGAAAGCAAAACATAATATCAGCAGAGATCTCATTTTTTCAAGAAATTAAATCTCCCTTTTACAAAACAAGCTTTTAAGATTTTGAGCTTCCTGAATGCAGTGGTTTTATTATGGTTTTGACAAATACAAAATCACCAATTCCTTATTATTTGTAAGGCTGCTCAGTAAAACAGAGGTACTATAATATACTATTTCATGCCATGATTTTTTAATTAATATTGTGAAAAACTGCCCTTTTTCCCTGAAAACTATTCTAGTCATCCTCGTATTTTCTTACATGCTACTTAGGAACAGTCCTTTGCAATGTATACATTTTCAGGCGTTCTTTTCCAGCAAAAAGGTAGATTATGATTTTTTAAGATAATAATAATACCTAGAAATGCCTACATAAAGAAATAAAAGTCTTCAGGATCCAGAAACAAGGAGGGGACTGGAGGCTAGAATGGCATGGTTCTGAGCTGAAGCTGCCACTTTGCTAAGGAAGGCTTATCAGTTTGTGAAAGTGCAATCTTTTGTTTTAACACAAATAAGGCCAGGTCTTGAGCCCAAATGAGGAAAAGGAGCGCTTCTACATTAGACACAGGCATGACTTTTCACAAGTTTAATTCTCTGTAATCAGGTGAATGAGAAAATCCATCCAAGTACAGAGGGGATAATTAGAAAGCTAGCATTTCTCTACCTGTTATTTTTTTTTTCCTTGAGAAGTGGAAACTCCTGTACTAAAGATTACATTGGTTTGAGATTTGATTTTAAAGTATGGATAAGTTTCTGGATGGCTTATTCATTTTGGTTCTCTGAAAGAAGGAAACTCAATGTTGCATTCAAAGAAGATTCTTTCAACACAAGATTGCCTCGGGGGAAGGATGAGCTCATATTAAGCATGCCCTAAAACACAAGAATATAGAAAAGATAGGAAGAAGTCACAAGAAACAAAAGAACCAAGTGTCACAAATGTAAGATAATAGAAAACTAATCTAGAAGTAATTTACCATGTATTTGTTTATAATGGTTAAAGATATGAAAGAGGAAACCCCAGTCCTAAGACTTACACTCCTTATGTTAGTCAATGTTAGTAATCAATGCTAGCTCCAATAACAAATTAGCAAATAGGGAGTACGCGATGCTCACTTCAATACTGAACAACCCCCAAATCTCAGGGACCTCACACAACAAAGGATATTTCTCATTCACACTAGAGTGTGATCTGGAGTTTAAAAGATGACTTTGCATGTGCTGTATAAGGATTTTGGGCTCCTTCCGTCTTGTGGTATTACCATTTTCTAAAGTCTTCTCAAGGATTGAGCTATGTATCAAGCAGGAAGAGAGTAAAAAGTATCTCACAGAATGCTTTCTGAGCATAAAGGTGGGACACAACATATGTCCCCACATGCTATTTTGTAAAACACCTTCACAAAGTACCAGCCAACCTGCCATGGAGTGTGGGAAACACAGGAAATGGAAGACAGGATTGGTGAGCATCTGGTCAATCTCTACCTACATATAAAAATTTGAAACAATTCTAATTAGAAATTATAGACATATAAAAACCTTCATTCTTCTATTTCATGTAAATAGGTAGATGGCAGAGAAATGGATAGATTGTCTGTGTAGTCCAGGCACTGTTCCAGTTGCCGGAGGGAGACGGAGTGAACAAAAACCCAACATTCCTGCCGCTGTGGAACTTACAAACCCTGCATATGCAAACATACAAATAGCACATAAATAAAGGATCAGTGAGAGGATTGTCAAGTGCTGTTAAAGATGAAAAGATGCAGAGAGGTGAGGGTTGCTATGCTAGGTAGGGTGCTCAGGAAAGTCCCTCCCAACCCTGACCTTAGAAGGTGAAATTTGGAGGGACCTTAACCTTCTTATTGCTGAGTTCAACATTTATTTGTTTATACTTCATCTTGTTTGGTTCCTAGAATGAAGTGACTATGCCTTTCTTATTTAGCTGATTTATGATTTTTAATTTTCTTTTAAAATGATGATCATATAGCACTTTTATATTGGGAAAAATCAATTTATATTTGTACTGATATTCAAAAAGCTATTACTGTTACACATGTAAAGGATTTTAAGTGTGGATTGTATATAAATATTCCCCTTTATGGCATCTTATGTGTTTATGATAATTATCTTACATTAGTACGTAGGGACTGAAGCTCAAAATTTGCTTATGGAATAATCTCTTTTGGGTATTTCAGTCTTTAGAACCTTGACATGTGGAAGCTGTCTATCCACAGATATGACTGTATTAAATGTACTTAACACAGGTGCTAACAAGATAACTAAATTAATATCATGAAATTAATTCAATATTATAGCTCAGAGATTTGAGTTATAAGCACCTCCCTCGCTCTGTCTCCAGTCAGTATGTTTTTGGCAGTAATGTACAGCCCAGAGAACAGAAGAAGGGGAGGTTTCCAATCTGGCCGGAATGGAGTGAAGCCGACATAAATGCTGAAAAGTGGGATGCTGGCAAAGGTGGAAAGGAGAAGGACAAAATGGGGAAAAGCCCTGTACTTGTAAGTAGACTCGAATGTGACTAGATCGCATTTTAGTTTTTCATTTTATAACGAGTGGAGTAAGACCTGTTAACATGTGGATGTGCTCATTCCTCTCCCCAGCCTCCATTCAAAAGAGAAATGTCTTTGTCCACCTCGCCTCCTCCCACCCCACCTTGTCTTTGCAAGCTCAGTCCTGAGCTTTGGTGAATCACATTTGAGTAAACAAGAGGAGAGAAATACCCAAAGGGTTGTAATGATATAAAGAGAAAATTGACAGGCCAGGTTTGCAGGTGGGTTTTGAACAGAATTGAGAACCAGGCATTTAGAGATGGTGGTTTAGAAAATGAGAAGCCTCAGCGAAACTGAGCTGTTATTTGGAGATTATAGAAAAGAAAAGTTTTAAGAGATGTTGCTATAAGATAAGAGTTGAATCCCTCTTAATATCTGCTCCCCACAAGACACTTGGGTAAAAATCTCAGTTCCTCTTCATTTACCTGTAGCTTTTAAACATGATGTGTCCCTGAGATTGGAGCTGAGAATGGGGTTCCAACATTTTTCCAGTTATATTATTTTAGGTTCTGCTGCCTATTTAAAATGTAGATAAGCTAGGTCTAGGTTGCATTTTAAATACGACTTATTTATCTGGTGCAGTAATTCAATTAACAAAAATACTTTTTGAACACAGTACAATTTTCAAAATACAGACAACATTGCCAGAATGGCTGCGTTGAACTCTTGTATCTATTTACATAGAGCACTCTGAAATGCTACCTGTTAGCATTGACATTTGGTTCACAAAATGCAGAATCACAAACTGCGTGATTCATATCGGTAATTTGTTTACAAAAGATGCTCAATAAATATAACTAATTGCTGGCTCTTTTAGTACTTGAACAATATTAAATTAGTGCTGTGGGAGGGAAGGCATTCTTTGTACCACACCTAAGGTGATTCTGGAACTTTTAGATGCAATGGACTTTTGAACTCTCTGGGTTCAATATTAAAATTTCATATTCTACATATTTTAATAGAAGTTCAAATCTTATAGGGCTCGTGTGTGAATATTCATCAGCAAGATGGATTGTGCAAATCCTGAGTTGAACAGTTGAGCTCTGGGAAAGATCCAGAGATGAGTCACTCCAAATCGTGAAGGAGCAACCAGGGAGGAGGAGAGCAGAAGTGCCTGAAAACTTGGAAATAGGAAATAAAGTATAATATTTTAAGGACCTTAGAGTGCAGGCATGCCTTTATCAGATGACTATGAAAAACTCTTGCAGATGTCTGGAAGGTCAGGTATCAAATTCTGGAACTTACCAGTGTTATCAAAGCAAGGGCAAGTTGGTTAGAAGAAACACTTACTGGAGGAAAACCACTGAGACTGGAGCAGTAATAAATGTGCTGGTCACATGATGTCCATTTCATTTGGGGGTGACATGTAGGAGTATTGTTGGCTGTTGTATAAAATCGCATGATTTGGGAAGCACCAGCCCTGCTCCTGTTCTGATGAGGACTGTGCCAATGGAGGGTGACACATCAGAACCTTAGATGACAGCCCATTCTGCCACCACAGCTTTCACAAGATAAGAGAGAACAGCTCAAATCCTGGCAATTACGACAGGGCAAAGAGTCACCGTCTGAGATTTAACCCTGCTTCCCACCCCCAGTTCTGTCCTACAGCCTCAGCATTCATGGCTCAAGAAGCAGCAGTCCCTCCACTGGAGTAGGTGGTAGACACTCCAAGCATTGTGGTCACATTTCTATGAGAATGGTGGTGCATTAGCTCTTAGCCATGATTTGCACCATCCATATTTTACTGGGATGAATTGCCTTAAGCATCTAACTGTAGCGGTTATCCTTGGAATTTTACAGAAGGTCACTTCTTTAGATGGGAGGCTAGTGATCAGGAAATCAGCCTCAGGTGAGCTGACCCTTATCTGCAAGTCCAGAGTCAGGTCTCATTTCCTCAGCTAAGTGATGACAACAAAAGGACATGATGGGTGAATCAAATTGAGAAGTATCCGATAAGTACTGCAAGGTGGAGAAGAGAAGTGTGCCTAAAGCAAAATACCATGGGAAGATCATCATTTACAATGTGAGGAGCTTGAGTCCTGGAAAAAAGGGAATCACACCAGGATGAGCCCCACATTCACCAATTTTTCCCTCAGGGACATCCATTAATTCAAGGCATGGAAACTAGATACCAAGCAGAAAGTAGTGGCCTGGAGCTTGTGTCAGTTTTTCTGGGCTGATGGGGAAGAGGATACTACTGTCTGGGGCTGCCAAAGCAGCCAGAACTCGAACCCAAATCCCAGAGGTAACTAAGAAAAATGATCTGAAAATTTTGCATACAATTTTATTTTGAGACATTTGCCTGCCTCCTAAACATTGTCTGTAAAGCTTTTGCTGCTGAGTAAATGAGTAAAAAGCAGCAGCTTGGAAGCTAAATCAATGAGAAAAGATTTCATGATGCTAGGGCAAGAGACCAGAATTCAGCATATACAGAGTAAAGGAACACTGATTAGTACCCCAGCCTTTCAGTGAGCACCCCAATATGGCTAGAGCATTCTATATGAAGGATGAACCAACATTACACCAGCGCTGCCAAATCCTAGGACCCAGTGTTGACTAGGTCGAATTCATCTGGCACTCTGCCTGCGAGAAAGGAATAAAGACATTATTCAGAGCCTGTATAAATTTTTATATCCAGCATGTATCACACAATCACGATTGATGAGACACGAAGAGAAACAGAACCAAGTGACTGAACAGCAAGAGGAAAAATCAGGTAATAGAAACAAATCCACAGGGCGCTCTTTTGGAATTGCCAGCTAGGGGACTTTAAAATAACTATATTAATACTTGCAGGGAAAAAACAATGTGAGGGAACCCCAGAAGTCTATTAAAGCTCCTGGAAAGCTCAGTTTATTTTTTAAGGATTCATTCTTTAATCATTTTGACTAGGTGTTGGGGTTGCCTTTGTCTTCATTTAAATTATTCTAGTATCTTAAAAGTGACAATAAACCACATGCTCCAGATATACATAGACACATTATGTTTAAAGTTCAGGCAATGCCCTCAAATACAACATATTTCTCAAGCCACACTAGCACTAGGATAAACATGTAATTACAATGAAAATCACAAAACGGTATTTATTTGCCCCTTTCCCCATGAAGGTGAAATTTACTTGTTTTTTCCCATATAGATAGTTTATGTTCCTCTAGCATTTTATTTGTACTCCTAGAAATGTTTGTGTTATTTCTTGTAAAGCTCCCCATTCCCCTACCATCTTATGAGCTATAAGAACTTTTACATAGCAGCTCCCTGAAGTCTTTCTAACTTACTAGATTGCTTGGTTTTGGATGTCATTCTTTCTCTAGAACTCACTGACCCATAGTTAGGGCTCAGAAATTAATAAATTGCATTCTTGAGCATTCATCCCAGAGAAATGGAAAGTTATGTTCACACAAAAACCCGTTACCTGTACACAAATGTTCATAGCAACTTTATTAGTAGTGGACCCAAAATGGAAACAGCCCAGATGTCCCTCAATGGGCAGATGGTAAACAAGCAAATATCCATATCATGAAATATTACTCAGCAATAAACAGCAAACTATTGATACATGCAACAGCTTGAATGGATTGAATCTCCAGGGAATTAGGCAGAGAGAAATAAAAAGAATCCAGAGGGTTACAGACTATATGATTCTGTTCACATAGCATTACTGAAATGACAAAATTATAGCAATTGAGTCTAGATTAACAATTGCCAAGTGGTAGGAATTAAGCACAGAGTGAGGAGGCGGAGGGTGGGTGTGGCTATAAAAGAGTATAAGAAGGCTCCTTGTGCTGATGGAACTGTTCAGTATCTTGACTGTGTCATTGTCACTATCCGAGTGGCATTCTATAGTTTTGCAAGATGTTACCTCTAGAGAAATGGGGTAGAGAACACAGAAACTCCCGGTATTATTTCATACAAGGCCTTCTGAATCATTACGTCAAAATAACAAATGCAATTAAAACAATTAATAGATGAATGTCAGATCAAAGGTAAAGATTTCATTTACGTATAATCCTCTTTATGATTCTAACAGTTGAAAAGTAAGTAAATACTTCTCAATCTTCCCTACTCAGGTTAAAAAAAAAACAAAACAACATTTCCAGTGGAGAATGTGGCCATATTTGGCCCATCCAGACTTGCTCCCCAGCACACCTAATTCACATTCCAAAGCAGCTCAGGCCTGTTTGGACTGCTTCCTCTGCTATCAAAAATGCTACTCAACAATCAAGGTTTTGTTAATTAAATATAGTAGTTTTAATTTCAGTATTCAAGTATTCTGTGAACTAGCTCTGAGAACAAATGCACAAATTGCTCTATAAATGCTTTTTTATTGATCAAATCAATGCACTTATTCATTTTTATTAGAATAGAATTGGTTTTACTTTCAATAAAACTTTTGGAGAAAAGGCCTAATACATTTTTTTATATAGCATTTTTTTGAAGACCCTGAAGGAAAGATTGAATTGCCGCCATCATTGAAAATTTATTCCTGGAAACGTCCACAGGATTTTTTAATTAATCGGGTAAGAAATATTTTTACTCTTAAACAAAACATGTGTTAACTATGAGAGGCGGTATCCTAGTTATGAAAATTTGCATTTTAAAGACAATTTAGGGTAATTTTTTCCTGTGCTATTTAGTAAGAAAAAGTAATTACTTTTGGGCATTTAAATTGTAAATAAATGTTTATCAATATAGTTTGTACTGGTTTCCAAGAGGATATTGAAATTTTCTTGTGCTGGTTTCTTACACTGGTTTTCAAGCAACTATAGAAATTTTGTTTAGAGCCTCAAGTTTTTCGTCTTCCCTTCATGATGTCGAATTATAACCTAAAATACTGCAAACAGTGACTCCATAATTTCTGACAGACTTTCTCCTGTTTCTTACCAGGAACTCACATGGTGTTAGGGTCTGTTGACTCTGGTGTTTATTAGCATTAATTTTCCAGCCCAAGAGGTTTGCACGTGGGCCTGTCTATTCTAGGAATTCCTGAAGCATTTCCCAAGGGCCACTTTCATTTCTGAACCCCATTGAATCATATTCACATGGACATCACCCCGAGAAAGCTTCATTTTAAATAGCACTTATGCACATTAAAACTTCAGACCCACTGGCCTATCTTTCTAATTAATAGCCTTGTTACTTTGAATATATTTAGTATTTCCAAGGGGTTAACCATCACTAATGCCTCTTTTCCCTTCTTGAGTCTCTTATTTTCATTTGCATGGAAAAACCAATAGATTAAATTTGTTATTTAGTACAAGTCAAAAAGTTGTAATGCAGCTGATTCTTCTGTACATTATGTAATCCACTGCACCTGTCTCGATGCAAAGTGATTTTATTCCTAAGAGTTTCAGCTTTTATAAGAACTACTGCTAATGCAGAAAATACAATTTATCCATCATTTTCCAATTACTGTTACTAGTTGAGAAAGTCAGAAATTCTAAATCTCAAATATTTATTAAAATAAGAAAATAAGTAGGTACATCTTTGTCCATCAGAATATTTATTCAATGCCTACTTGTAAGACGTTTTAAATGAAAGAAATTACATATGCATGAAGCATGCCTTTAAATTAATTACTTATGTTAGGTAATACTGAAATGAAGAATGTAAACTCTGTAGTGTTAATATAAAGCACTTAATATTTATGTATTATTAATACTCAGGCTCAACTCAATATAGGTACAGAGTTTACATTCCACTCAAATGAAGGATATGAATTCCACGAAGTGAGAGTGTTGTAAATTTGAATAAGTAGAAAAGTTTTATAACTTTTCCTCTTTTTAGCATACCTGAGTTCTGAGAGAGACATTTGTACTGAAAATAAACTGACTCATTGATGCTGATGACCCTTCCACCTGTATGTATGGAAATGCGTCTGTCTCCGTACCTCTACTCTCCCTCTGCACTCACTCCTTCTCCTGATCCATCACACAGCAGTATGGACCAGAACAGCTGGAACTGAAAGTCAAGCGAATCAAGAAAGTTTTAAAGTAGCGCTTGTCAAGTTTTAATGTCTAAGTCCACAGTGATAAATGCATTTCACATTGAGACTCATTAAATATGGACCTATGTAAAGTCCAGACAAAATATTGCAAAATGGTAATGACATTTCCTTAGGAAATTTACTCAGTTCTGTTATATTCCATATATATGTACTGCTGACACATTTTATAGATATATATACATGTGTATATAGTTCTGACCCATTAAATGATTTCATGAATCACTAAATAATTACAACCCACAATTTAAAAACCACTAGAAACTTACTCCAGAACACTAAGCAAAGTATGAAATCAAAGGACATGATTTAAGTCAGAGAGATGCTAAGTTATTAAAAAGCTTAAAAGACTGAATTTATGATAGAGTCAACAGGGATCATTCCAACCAAGGAGATTAACAAGCCCTGATCTTAGAGTGAGTAATCAGATCTGTTCATTTCTGAGAACCAGATATGGGTGGCCCAGGTCCCTGAATGTTGACTATATTAAACAGATGTAAGATGTCTAACAATTTACCTTCCCTGAGGTGCAGGTGTAGGGGACAGAGATGCCAAAATACCATTGTAGAGACCTCTGTCTTAATATTTGTTGTCTTTTACGAACTGTCATTGTCTCCTTTTCATTTGTCAGTGGGTGACTATTAAGTCTAACCCTTCAAACCTTAGATATCTAATCCTTACGTAATCTGTGATTAATCAATTTTAATGCATTTGGTACTTGCTGAAAGGGATAAGCACTTTAGAAGTGTTACCGTACAGTCAGACAAGCCAGAATACTACATACATGTATACATATATATTTATAAACATTAAGTTATATATATGTAACTTTTATAAGTTATATAAATTATGTTGATGAATTATGAACATGAGTCAGTTCAGACTTCCAAGGTAATTTTAGGTAACTTTTTCTCAGACATACAAAAATATTTTACTGAACTTTCAAGATGCTAATTATACAAGTGATTGAGAGTAACTGATGGCATCAGTTTCTATAAAAATCTATTTCACTAATCAAAACCATTTTCATGTTAATTTGACATGTTAAGTATATAAGATTGATATTAATTGTAACAAATTTTTAGAACTGTTACAAGTCATGTTTTTCCCTATTATGTTTATTCCTTACTAAATACATAAAAGCAACTTTTAAATATATGCCAATTGAATAATGGCCACCGAATTAACTTTAAAATGCATAACAAGATTTAAAGTTGAGCAAGATTTTTGAAAGCTGTCACAGCTAATAGTTTTCATCCAAGATGAAGATATTTTTCTAGCTACCAGATGTTAACGAAGCTTCAGGTTTAACGTGAGTGGTTAACTTAAATTTCAAATCAAGTTTTAAACATAATTTGTGCATGCTTGCTAAGTTTAGCTGCATATGTTATATCTTAAAACATTTTATTTGTATGTTAAAACACTATATTTTATAGGCGTTACATTATTAAATTAATGTAACCCACCCATTATCTCTAACAGGGTTATCTTATGGAATAAAGTGCTTAGCTTTTATTTCTTCTAATTCCTCTGGTTGCAGGAAATCAAATCAAGCTCGGCCTGCTTACAGCACATAAACTATTTTATTAAGCTACATTTTGTTTATTTTTCCTAAGAAGTAATATCTCTTTATATATATATATATATATTTTAAAATTTCAGGCTCCAGTGGTTGTGAAAAATGAAATCCTGTTTGACTTGTTTTCAGCAAACGAGCACTTGATCTGCAGTGAGGTAGGTAGGAGCGTATGAACCAAAGAAAAGCCTCATTGCAGAGTGCCTTCCGGACCTGCTCAAACCACTGTCAGTCATCAGTTTCAGTTCTCCCTTGCTCACCTTCAAGTTGTGGTATAACTGAGTATTTCCTATTCCAGACATTCAAAGAGGAAGAGAAGCCTCTTTAATTGAGCCTAGCGAGAGAATGGATGGGGGAAGGTTAATATTAGCACTGCGTGTGTCCCTGTTCTCCTGCCCAGGGACCCAGGGGAGCTGGGTTCTCACCATCTGAGCATTTCTCCTCTGGATCCCTGTGCCTAGCAATTGGCATAAAGTTGTTTCCAGTCTTGCCCCACATCGTGTCCAAGAGCAGTGTGTTCGGTGTTGTTTGTCTTGCTGACGTCGGGAAATCATGGGGTGAGGTTCAACTGCAACACCTCACCTAAACAAGCCAGATTTTCAGCACGACAGTCTTACTGCCTGTGGGAACGCTCCACCCCGTGTCTCCACCCTGGGTTTCATCTGTCAGAGGCAGACCTGTTCCACTCCCTCAAGGTAGTTACATCAGAAACAGAGGCTTTTTGATGATTTTCTCTTAAGACCCAGCCAGAAGAGTAGGCATAGTCATTATTGATTCAAATATTTCGTCTTTCTTATTTTTAAAATCTTGACCAATATTAAAATAAAAATATTTCTTCTACCAAGTTGTACTGATTAGTATAAAATTATCTCTGAATTGTGTTTTTTTAATTGAAGTATAAATGATTTACAATGTTGTGTTAGTTTCAGGTGTACAGCAAGGTGATTCAATTATACATATACATATATATATATACACACCCTTTCAGATTCTTATTCCATTATAAGATATTAAATATAGTTCCCTGTGCTCTACAGTAGGCCCTTGAATTGTTTTATATTTTATAATTTAGTCTAAAATGTGCTTATTTTATGAATTCTAAATATACATAGACTTCAGTGTATGGTTTTTCAAGACAAGTATGAAATATTCTGTAGTAAAATTTCCAGGTGTACAATAGGACATATGATTTGCCTTTTTCAGCTTAACCAAATTTTAAGAAATTTCCTAGACAATGCAAATTAAGGAAAGTATAAATCTTACAATGATAGTTTCACGTATTTAATCTCCTTACAAACCACACAGCAACACAAACTCCAAAATTCACCTCTGCACTGTGTCTTGCTGCCTGTTAAAAACCCTGCAAGTGGGAGTTTTACTTGGAGCACTTCTGCATCTGCAGATCAACACATAAATAAGAATCTTAGAGTGTACGTAAGTGTTTGTGTGTAATTTTAATTCTTTCTCGTGTCTCATTTATTGTCTGAAAGATCTTGTTGACAGAAAAGGATCACTTCCTTCTCAAAACTTCTCAGCGTTTATAGAAGAGTAGCTCGGTCTTTTATAAAAAGTTAATAGCAAAATAAAATCACCATTGCTCTCCGAAGCTTTCAGTCTCCCTCTCTCCCCTCTCCTCTCTCTTTTTGTCACACACACACATACACACACACACACACACACACACCCCCAAAAGGGAGGTCAGTGTCAAATTACTGACAGCTCCGGAAGACAGCTTTTAGCTAAGAATTTATAGCTTGTTTGGTGGCTGTATTTCCTGAAAACAAAAGCAAGCTCTATAACTTTATTCTGTGAGTCAAAAAATCAAAATGCGGAATACACTCCATATCAAATGTAATATTACTACTGGAAGTAGATTTTCAGCTATTCACCCCCTCCAAATTACAGTGCCAATAACTGAAAAATAATCAACACTACTGGTTTTCATCTTTAGCTGATGAGATGGATTATCAGTGAAATCTATGCCGTGTGGAAGATCTTCAACAGGGGTGCTTTGAACAATTATTTCAAAAGGACATCAGGGGAGCCTCCTCTTCTGACCTGGAAGCCCTGGGAACACATTTACTCCCTGTGCAAGGCTGTGAAAGGTCACATGCCCTTGTTCAACAGCTATGGGAAGTATGTTGTGAAACTTTACTGGATGGTAAGTTTGTGTTCACATGCATTAAAATTTGTGTGTCTTTCATACTGAAGTATCTTTGTCTTACTGGCTGTTAAGGAGACTAATAGAAGATGAGGCAGTTTAGGAAGGATACCAACTGTGTGCCTACTGGGAGGGGGCAATGTCCTGTATTTGCAATTTGAGTTTAAAAAGAACACAGTGACACCAGTCCCATGTGCTTTTTAAACTGGTGCCACCGGGACCACGGAGAGGTGACCCTCTGCTGCCTCTGCCCTCCCAGGGGTGCAGTCTGGGCGGGCAGGTGGGTGCACAGGGCTCTCCCCTCTCCAATGTGGTACCAGGGTCGTGAGCCGGAGAGAGTGCCCGTCCCTGAGCCTTGTCCGGTCCTCTCTTGGTATTTGCTGCGCCCAGTGGCCCTGATCCATCCATGTTTTTCTCTCCTCAACTTGAGGTTTATTTTCATATCACCAATTCTCACTCTGACACAGAAAGATTTTACCTCTGCCTGAAAGGAACCAAATGGGATAGTCGGAAGCACAAATAGAGAATTAAAAACCCCTTAATTAATATGCCAAAGTCGACTCACGCCGCATTTAGCAATGCTAGATTATATTAAGCACCTTTGGGTTTTTAATGGTGAAATGAACACCCAGCTACATGATTTGCAGAGCCTCCTGTTCAAAAATTGTTAAGAATTTCAAGACGGTGATATCAACACTTTAAACAAAGAATGGGGTCCTTCTGAGTATGGGGTTCCACGTGACAGTGCAGGTCACCATGTACCCATGAGGCTGGTCCTTGTCACTGAGAGAGAATGTTCTTGAACATGTTAAGGAGTGGGGAAGGTTAATCAAAGTGCTTTATATGTCTAAGAACATGACTTTTTCCTTAATGAGCTGGAGCCATCTCTCTTTCTGGGATGGGGAATGTTGTAAGGTCAATACTTAGGAATTAATAGAATTGTGGTGAGGTGGTATGGAAGGTCATCTTAGTCGCTGATATCCGAACTAGGAATTTGGAGGGGTTTTTTTAATATTCACAGCAAGACCTTGAAAGTCAAAATGCTGTTAGAGAAAATAACTTCCTAAATTCCTTCTTTGTTTACCAATCGGGAGGGAGGTTTGGCAGAGTAGACTTGACAGTATGAAATGTGTGCAGAGAAAGGAGAGAGAGGATAAGGCATTAAGAAAGTGGATACACAGAGGATAATGTAGGATTACAGGGAGAGAGCAAACACGGGAAGGGTGAGGGGGCCAGATGCCCAGGTATTGGGCCCCACTTCTGCACATTTGCCAGAACTTGAGGTGGGATGGAGTTCAAAATTATTAAGAATTTCAAAACAGCATCAGTGGAACATTAAACCAACCTTGTTAATTTCTCTCTCTCTGTTTCCTGACATCCTTCCTTCTTTTCTAATTTCCTTCTTGATAGGGGTCAATGTTTATTAACACTATATTCCATTTTGCAAAGAAAATGTGATTTATCATCTCTTTAACTATACTGATTCCTCAGCAGCTTAAACCAACTTGAATTCAGAAAATTTTTTTTAAATGTATTAGTCCAACTTGGATATCGCACTCTGATCCAGTCTTTTTTAACCTGTCTCTCTAGACAGTGTAGACCTTGAGTGAAGAGGTCTAGGAGTCAGGAAGACTGAACCTCACGTCCCGTGGCTTCTTCTGCTTCCTCATTAGTCTCACCTGAGGAATGGTGTGTGGGGGGATGCTGACAGACTGCTGAGCACTGAGATGCAGCTGGTTCCATACGAAATACTTTGCAAGCAATTTGCTGGCACTCATCGCTGAAGTTCACGGTCAAATTCATGCTCACTGAGATGTGACAGATAGCTCTGCTGGCCCGCAGCATTCCTAGATCCGCTTGGAGGGTTGCATGGGCCCCTGAGGGTCGCTTCCATGCAAATGCAAGGAGACCACATCCTTCAAGATGACAGGCATGTAATATGTCATGGAACAAATACAGGGGATGATAAAATGCGATAATTATGTAAAAGAGCCTAGCAAAGGTCCTGACAAATAGTAGATTCTCAGCACCATCAGCTTCCTTCCCTCTTTTCGTGAATTCTTTCCTTCCTTCTCTCTTTCCCTGCTGCTGCCTCCTATTGTGGAAGCCAAAGGGATGGATCGTTCCTCCTCCTGGCCCTTTGGCAGAGTCAGGGAGAAAAGTACTGATCAGTTTACTAGATGCTGTCTTGCCCAACAATGGTTCTTGAGCAAAGATGCGTAAATGGAGGGGACGCAGGGGATACACAGTTACTGTAGGCAACGCTCTGCCCGACTCTCCCACAGTCTGATCCTGCTGTGGTGGTTCCTTTGCCCAGACTTGCTGAGTTCCTCTGGCGTCCCTTGAAATCTGTACATCCCTTACATGTCTTTAATTGCCTATATCTTGCCTACTTAAAAAACAGTTTATTGAAAGTTCTGTTATGGAATTGTAAGTATTCTTTTATCTGTTGTAGGTAGTAATATATGTGACTAGAAAGGAAGCACTTTTTAAATTGGTTTTTAGCTTTCTGTCTTCCACCCAACTGGGACTTGCAATGTTATATAGTCAGTGTGTCATTGTTTTTCTTTACAGAGGTCTAGGACTTCTTGTCATTTAAAGTAAGGTATCACTATCAAGAATTTAAAAGACATTTCCCCTTAATTTTATTTTAATGTTTGTAACTTTAATTTGTTTTATCTACTGTGAGAAATGAAGAACTGGTTTATTTTTTATTCCAAAAGCTTAGCTAGTTGCCCACTATTATATATTGAATGTTCTACTTTTACCCATTGATTTTAAAAGCCACTTTTATCCTACACTCATTTCCAATTTGAACTTGTGTTTGGTTTTGGACTGTTTTTCCTTCCACTGTTTTTCTTGTCCTATTCAGATACCATTCAGCTTTAATTATTATGAATTTATAGTTTGTTTTGATTTTTTAAGAATAAAATCCACCTGATACTCTTGTTTCCATATTTTCTTGACATATGTTTTTTGAGTAAATATTTTTATTAGTATTTTCTTTGAACTCATATTTGTAATTACTTATCCTTTATTACATACATAAAAAGGTTTAGTCCTCATCTTTGTCGTCTTTGTTCAATTTAACACAGCTTCCCCTCTCTTAAGGATTTTATTTTGATTCATCTTTCATTCAGATGGAGTATGCATTCCAAAATTTTATTCACTTAGAATATATATGTGGTATATTTGGGTTAACTTGGGTTATTGAGGTCTATTTTTCTTTATATACGATTGTTATGTGAATAATAATTTGGCTACATATGGAATAAATGGATAATACACTTTTTGTTTAGACACAATAAGCAATGCTTGATTATCTCCTGGTTTTAGTGTTTCAGACACTCATTCTGAAGCCTTTACTCTCCTCCCTGTCTGAAGCTCTGACTCTGTCTCCACTCTCTGCTTCATTTTTCTCCATACACTGAGTATGAAGCAGCCAGCATCCCATCCACTTAGTGTATTCATTAGTAGATGGAAAAATATTACCTTCTAGATGTTTTCTTTTTCCAGGGCTTTTGTTCACATATGTATTTCTTATGTTCCTATGTTGTTCCAATCTACAGTTATTTTCATTAAGTTAATACACAATGCAAATTACAAGACTCTCTTGCTAGTCCTCCTCTACTTCACTTTATTCTTTAAAATTGGAACTGTAGTCCTCCAAAGGCTATAGAAAAATGCTGATAGCAATGCTAATAAATAGATAAATAGATGTGATTTTTAAAGGGAAGCAAACAAGAACTTTGCTGTTTCAAAAACTGTGTTCATGTGATAGATGACTGCCTGGTTTTCTAGTTGGTAGAAATCTTTTCTCTCTGGGCTGGGGG